ATAATCATTTATTTTAAATAAAAACAAGAATAAAATGAAACAAAGAAATAAAAAGTAATGATATAGATGTAAAACATATTCCGAAAAAATAATATTAATTATTTATTTCATGAGAAGAAATGAAAAAACAAAATATGATTATATCATTTTCATAAAATAGATGTCCATGGATAACTAAATATTCGGTTTTATGTAAATTCTTCAAACATCGATTGTGGATGTTATGTGGGCCAGTGGAGTTGTCTCGAGTTTATTTGATGTGATATTTAATTTCTTGTATAGTAATTAGCTTCCATCTGATTGTGTTTGATTTGGTTATAACTCCATTCTGGATGTTGCTTGCTTGATGAGTTACTTGATCATGAAATGGTAGCGTATCAGAAGATTGAAAGTAGACTTCATCTTGGAAGTAATCCTCGAATAGATCTGCCTTCTTCGTATCTGATGTTGCTTTTGTATTGCTATATTCCATGATGTTTGCACAGCTTTGCGGGATCCGTTTGTTGTGGAAAGCGCGAACTGTTAGCTAAGCTGCATCCGAATAGATTTTCTTCTGACATAACGACAGCATTAGCTTGTTTTAGTTGTTTTGTCTGTCATTTTTAAGTGAATTTGTTAGTAACACCTTGGAGTTATAATATTGCTGGTGTATGTCTATATTATCTCCGGTCGTCTTTTATCTTCGGTATGCTTGATGTTTTAGTTTAATCAAACTGTTCGATGCTTCACTTAGTGTATAACTTGTATTCGTATGTCTAGTTGGTGGAATGACTTCTTATGTTTTTACCAATATACTATTGTTGATAAACGAGGTATGTTCTTTTATATTTAGTGTTGAATCTAAGTGATGATCATAATGCCATAACATCAGTTGTTGATCTGATTTGCTTCTAAATTTTGACCATTGTGCTGCTTTAAAATTAAGAGATATTCTTGGAGAGGTTGATTTTGATTCAACTTCAATTGGAATATCGAAGTTTAATGGTTTGTGTCCACTTAATGCATCCAGTGTTAGATGAGTTTCAACATTTGATATGAATGAAAGAAGTGGTTGACTTGCTAATATCCAGTCTAATTGTTCTTCATAATCATTCTTTGCAAATGTTGTATCATTATTATTGATACATTCAATAAAACCTTCCTTGAATAATTTTTGCAGCTGTCTTCCTCTAGCAGTTGTCTTCCATGAATCCATTTGATGTAGGCATTCGGCGTAAAATACGTTCAACCTATTGACAAACTATAAATGGGTATGAAGTTCATTTTTCTACTTCATAAAGTATGAACGGAGAATGTGAGTGCCAAGTGGGCCATTTTTTGCAAGCAGAATTGGCTTAATTTTTACTCGATAGATAAAGTTTGTTGAGTAGGTTGAAGTGTTTATTTTTCGTTTGTGCTTTCGGAGATTCGCCAGATGGATATTTTCTGTACTGTTATGAGGATAGTTATAGGTTTTATGCGACCCTGGTGCCAGTTCAGACATATTGTCTCGACAGCATTGAGTATGAAACACTGTGGTGAGCGCAGCCGGACCCTTGCTAGCGTCTGAATTGGAATTACGGGACTACGTTCATGAGCTCGCGCCAATTGAGAGAATACGTTGATCCGGAGAGGCAGAAGGTTGATTGGTCCTCCATACGATGTTTCATTATTGTTTATAACGATCTATGGCACATACGATGGGTAGATCAACTTAGTAACGTTGTGGAAGATCCCACTCTTGGTTGGGCTTGCAGCTCATCTAAGGGAAATTTGAATCGCACTTCGAATGAAAACACGTGGAGCCGCTCGAGCTTCATATACTCGACACGCGAATTCAGAACGAAACAAGATCGATAATGATAAACTATCGGTAAGTGTTGAAGCTTCTCCGCCTGTGGTTTATCTGATTCGTTATCCGATCGAAGGAGCCAAGAGTGAAATCTGTAATAGTTCACTATCAGATGAAAATCTTAAGGTTTGTGAACAGATACTTGACGTTCATGGTATCCATAATATAAAATATCAATGTACAGAGTGTGCGAAATAATTTGATACTATTAATAGTATAAAATTACATTATCCTGCTTGTAATAAAAAGCAAAATAAAGAGAATAATCTCGCGGTCAATGATCGAATTCTTCCGCCTAACAATATTCAATCGAATAATTCTGTTGTCAACATTCCGCCATTACAGTGCGTTGAGTATTATGAAAAGTCGATTGAATTTATTGTAAAAGATAAAAAAGGGTTTACTACACATCTTCGATTAAAATATTCGAATAAATACGAAGATTCTAAAAAGCTCGCTAATATTCGAGGAGCTTGGAATAACGATAAAGATAAAACTTTGGCGAATCTGGAGGTTTCATTAAAATCTCAACAGAGAGGTCAAATTCTTGATCGACTTCATGAAGAATGGAATAAGCTTGCTGCCAAGTCTTATGCAAACCATCGATCTAAAGAAGCTATTCGTGGGTGCAGGCAACAACCTGAATATAAAGCTATTCTAGCTGGCCTACAAAACGAACTTAAAAATAAAAGCTCTAAAATGACTGATTCTGCTACAACTTTAACAGAATCAAGTCCTTCTATGGACACAGTGACTAAAAGTGAATACGTAATTTTTATACAAAACCTTATGAAAGAAATATTAACTTCACACGAAGTTAAATCAAAATATATGAAGGATGCGATAAATGCTGTCTTGAATTCCAATGAAACTGAAGATCCGGTGAAGCTAACTATATTAGGAATTCACCAATCTATTAAAGAATGTCGAGAAAAATATAATAAATCTATAAATTTCCTGTCTGAAACAACTGGTTTGACATCAAGGAAAAAGCCTGCTCGGAATAAGAACAGAATTGAGAAAGCTAATAAAGGAGCTTATTATACGAAATTATATATGAATAATAAGCCTCGTCGGGTGGAAGAATTGATAGAAGGTATTACACCTAATACTGAACCATCATCGATTCATGAAGCAATTAGACATTATGAAAATATTTGGTCTACATATAAAAGTGATACACAATTAGTGGATCACCAACCCGATTCCGAAATCAATAATAAAATATTGTTGTCTCCAATAACAAAAGTAGATATCGAATAGGCAATAAAAAAGACCAAAAACGATACCGCTAAAGGTATCAATCAAATTATGCTTCATGAAGCTCAAATAATGGCATCAGAGGAATTATATATTGCTTTTAATATATGGTTGGGTTGCAAGTGGATTCCATCTGACTCCAAACGCAATCGTACCACTCTGATACCAAAAACAAATCGTGATCTTCATAAAATCGCTAATTGGAGACCGATCACGATTTCATCAATTATTCTTCGACTTTTCAATAAGATTCTTGGTCATAGGACGAGCAAGTTATTTCAAATTGATAAACATCAAATGGGTTTTAGAGAAATTAACGGATGTAGTTATAACATTCTATGGCTACATCATTTACTTAAACACGCTCGACAAAATAAAAAAGATATATAGGTATGTTTTATTGATGTGGTGAAAGCGTTTGACTCCATCCTACATGAATCTGTCTTTCGTGTTTTACATAGATTTAAAGCTCCTTCAGCCTTCATTGAACTGGTACATAATCAATATACCGATAGTTATACAACATTAAGTTATAAAAATTTGAATTCAAAAAAGATTAAAATCTTAAGCGGTGTTAAACAAGGCGACTCCCTTTCGCCTCTATTGTTTAACCTTGTGCTTGATGAATTACTCGGTATATTAAAAGAGGAATATGGATATAATATTGAAGATATCGGATCCAATAATATTAAATGTTTTGCTGATGATATATGCCTTATTTCAGGTTCTCCAATCGGAATGGGACATATGTTATCTAAAACAATAAAATTTCTAGAAGAACGTGGTCTTGAAGTTAATGCCAATAAATGTATGTCAATAGGCCTTCAAAAAGCCTATAAAGGAAAAAAAAGTAAAATTATTACAGAACATGCATTTTCTATCAATGGCATACCACTACCAATACTCGGCCACGTCGAAAATTATATTAAATATCTAGGAATTTACTTCACGTCTATTGGACCAATAAATATTAATACTACAAAAGAAAAAATACAAGATATCTTAAATAAAGTATGTTCGATATCCTTAAAATCACATCAAAAAGTTAATTTGATGCGTACATACATTATACCATTGTTCATCTATCAATTGATCAATCTTGAAGTTTATCCGAAGTTATTGAAAGAGATTGATATTATTATAAGACGTACCATTAGATTTATACTTTATCTAATATCAAGTTCAAGTATAGATTTTTTTTACATTCCGATTCGAGACGATTGCCTACAACTACCATTACTTAGGGATATTATAGGTATGGCTAAAATTATGATCTATAAGGACATCATGAGATCTGATGATGCTATACTTAAATATCTTATGGAAACACAAGGATTCCACCTCATACAAAAATATATTAACGAACTTAAACTCGATAGTTCATTTCAATCGGATGATATTAAACAGAAGAAGGTTGAACTAGCGAAAGATACACAAGCGTCTTATAGTAATAAAGTTCATAGATGTGGGTTTGAGATTTTCTCTACATGTCCTATGACTAATTCATGGTTGTACGAAGAAACAAGGACAATGACCAGTCGTACATACATAAAGAGTATAAAATTACGAACTAATTCACTTGAAACAAGAGTTACGTTAAATAGGGGACCGTCAATAGACAAAAATTGTAGGAAATGCAAACAAGAACAGGAAAGTATAATGCACGTACTACAATTTTGTAAACCATTGAAAGGACTATGATATGAACGTCATAATCGTATATTCTTCCGGATCGTGAGTAAACTAAAAGAAAACGGGTACACCGTACTCATCGAAAAGGCATACACAATAAATACCAATGGTTTTCAAATATTGCGTCCAGATATAATAGCAATAAAACAAGATCACGCATTGATACTGGATGTACAATGCATATATAAATCATCTGGCGCTTCGTTTATATTTGCTGAAAACCAAAAGAAGGAAAAGTATGCCCCATTAATATCAATAATTAAAGAAGAACACAAATGCCTAGACATCGAAATTCACGTATTCACAATCGGTGCTCGTGGTTCATTTTTCATCGGCATTTATATATATGGTATAGGCTTGGTTTCACTACTTCGAAGCTTCGATGCATTTTGATAAACTGCATGGAAAACAGCTTAAGGATTATGCCATTGTTTTTTAAGAGTATAGCAACGGACTAATATGGACTTATAATAGCTGTTCTTGTTGTCGTTTGTTTTTCTTTTTTTCCTTTTTTTCTTTCTTCTCTTTCCTTAATTTCCTTTGTCGTTACAACACGAATTTTTACTATAAGTAAGTATGAACAAATGAACAGGTATTGAATTGATGCATACTGGGGCAAGTAAGGTGACGCTAAATGAAGGTCATGGGCCTCAGTATTACATCCCAATCGTCCTCAACACGGTCGAATTGTAAACCTGCTTCATTTAAAGTTCCATCAAGTTAATGGTGTAATCAATTTGATGTTTATGCTGTCGCGTCATTAAATATTGTTGTACTGGACTGATCTTTCTTTTCTTTCTACTCGTGTGTCATCAAATATTCTGTATCAGTTTTCTGACATTTGAAAAATAAATTGAAATAAACAGTGGAACTAGCTGATTCCATCCGAAGTTTCCCTCAGGATAGCTGGCATTCAATTTTCACAGTTATATCCGGTAAAGCGAATGTTTAGAGGCATTGGGCGTAAAATACGCTCAACCTATTGACAAACTTTAAATGGGTATGAAGTTCATTTTTCTACTTCATTGAGAACTTTGAAGACTGACGTGGAGAAAGGTTCCATGTGAACAGCTATTGGACATGGGTCAGTCAGTCCTAAGATGCGCTCGAAAGAGGGTTCCGAACGAGGAATATCTATATTCATTCATATTTATATTCCATCAAATCGAAAGGGAAACAAGTTAATATTCTTGTACTAAGTGTCGGAGATTGTTTGATTTCATGTCAAACATATGTGGTAACACAAACAAGCTCAAATACATCACAAGTGGTCCTGGAAAGAGTTTTCTCTTCTTTGTTACTTCATCAGACGACCCTGGAATCAGTTCAACTGGAGATAGGGTTCAAATGAAGGTAAAGAGTAGCCGTTCTTGCTACTTCCTCGGTGCATCATTTGTGATCCTTGAAAATTT